TTTGTGTTTACAGTTCAGCAAACCATATTGTTTGCTCAGCTGAGATCTGTGCAATTGCAGGGTGCCATGGGGCTTGCAGAGGGCCCAGCTTGGCTCAACATTTACATAGAAGGAAGGGAACCCAGTGCAATTATTACAGCTTAGGTTGTGTTTTCAAAGCTGGGATTTACTTTGTTTGCAGAATAATCACATTTGTTGCTGAAATATTGGTACACCATCCCCTGAGCCACCCACTGCCTATTCTAAAGCACACTTTTTAGTTGCTGACTCTTCTAAGCTTTTGTATCTACAAGTGGTAACATATGGTTTGTAGGATGCTGGTTTTGGAACCTTAACACAGGCAACACACTCCGAGTCTCTGTTGCTTTATTAGTTCCTTTTAGAAAAGGTACTTGAATGTGTACAGCTCTTGTTCTCTGTCTTGAGGGATGTGGGCAGGCTGCAGATTTAGGGTGCCTGGCCTCAGCCACGCGGTGTGAGAATCTTGGTCACCATGTTTCAGACTTCTTCCTCATAGAGGAGAGACCTGCCTTCATTGGTGTTGGCCTCCTGGTTTGGTTATGTGCAAACACACATAACGCATAACACATTCGGAGTAAGTGACGTGACTCAGTAGTCTTCTCCAGTTTGTTTCTAACTGTGTCATTTGGCATCAGTTTCAGATTATGATTATTTCTCTGTGAGTGGTGACCAGGAGGCAGAACAACAAGAGTTTGACAAATCTTCCACCATCCCAAGAAACAGCGACATTAGTCAGTCCTATCGCAGAATGTTTCAGACCAAGCGTCCCGCTTCCACTGCAGGTCTGCCAACCACGCTCGGACCGGTCATCGTCACCCCCGGCGTCGCCACCATCAGGCGGACCCCCTCCACCAAACCTTCCGTCAGACGTGGCACCATAGGGGCGGGTCCGATCCCCATCAAGACGCCGGTGATCCCCGTCAAAACACCGACCGTCCCCGATATCCCGGGGGGGCTGCCGGGCGTCCTCGCTGGGACTGAAGAGTGTCCCGAGCAAAGTCCCGAGTCCCCAGCAGCAGGAGACGGCGGGCAGAGCGTCCCCAGCATGCCCTCCTCCTCATGGAGCGGACAAGCGTCTGTCAACCCCCCGCCGTCAAGCCAGAAACTGGGCGCTGCCGACGAGCAGAGGCCGGCGGTTCCCGAGAGCGAGGGGGAGGAAAGCGAGCGGGACGGCGCGAGCAGCCTGGCGCCCGCGGGTCAGCAGGAGCTCGACGCCGGAGACCTCAGCCCTGGGGACGTCCCGCAAGGAGAAGACATGCTGAACGCCATCCGGCGCGGCGTCAAGCTGAAGAAGACGACCACCAACGATCGCTCGGCACCTCGTATTTCCTAGGAGCGAAGCAGCTGCCAGAGTACCACGCCGCCAAGAAGGAACTGGGAGGAAAAGTAGTTTGTGTGATCCATTCCGATCCGTAATCAATGAATTTCTGAAGATCCTCGGTAACAGACGGTCTGACAGTACTCTGAAAGAGAAACCATGGTGAAAGAGCGTAGTAAGACATAATCTTCACTGGTGTTTTAATTTGTAAATAACAGTGATTTGTTTCCACATTTTTTTGATCTAAGTTACACTTTTAATTTTTTCTGAAGGTGCCAAATCCCATTTACCTTTTTTATAACTCTTTGTAAAGTTTTAAATCATAGGAGAAAAAAAAATGTTGAGTAGTTTAACTTCAGCAAAGGGATTTAATGAGAATCTGGCTTTTTTGCAAGCTTTTGTAGAGCGCCTTGTAATAGTGAGGTTAAAAAAGCAAACAGCGGGACTTATTGTAAAGTTTAAGTCGAGCAGTGAGGAACAGATCCTCATTCGAGTGTTAAAAAAGGAGGTTTGAAGAGCAGGACTAAAAATTGACAATGAAAGCAATATATAATGCAAGGAAGAAACCTGCAGTTGGTAGAGTATTTGGGTGTAGGGGGGGAGGGAGATGCCATCAAAATAGCAGATGCTGTTGCACAAAAGTAGCCTAGTAGGAGTAATTACTGGTAGCTTCATGGTAAATGCATCAGAATAAGCCATATTGGATTGCAGTGTTTTGTTTCCGTAGGGTGTTTTAAAGACTGTTGTTTTTCTTTTTGCCACATTTCCTTCTGACTGCACAGCACCAACTCTCAGTCACATGCATGCAGCCGTCACTGTGTAGGCTCAGTTCCTCCGCCCTCACCTTCTGTTCCTCCCATCCTCTCACCGAATACAAACAAGGACAACAGGCTGAAGGCAGTTACAAAGGTGAAAACGATTCTAAACAGCAAGCAGGGAGTTCTTAGATATTATCAAAATGCCTTTTTCTGACCGTGCCCAGCAGGCTGGGCACCTTGGGAAGCCCAAATATTTTGAGAAAAGGATTTGACAGGCGTAAGCAGCTTGTGGTCTACTAAACTGCAAATGTTCCTTTCCACTACAGGGGCTTGTTTTTCTTACCTTCTTTTAAATGGCAGTCGATTGGCTTTTCTTAAATATCGAAAAAAGGGGCTGAAGGGTTGGGGGGTGGGGAGATACGCTGTTTTTTATTTGATGATACCGGGAGTCTGACCACTGTATTCTCTTTTTTTGTACTTTAAGTCTCGTTTTTTGGATCGCTGTTGATAGAATTATTCAGACTTGGGTTTTTTCCTTGAAGTACAAGTAAGTTCTTGCTGCAATACCTGTTCTCTATAGCTGACAGAAATATGCACACCGCGGGGCGCTGCAGCTGCTCGGAGCGCACAGCCAACGCTGTGGGCTGCACCCCCCAGCAGAGCCACCCATGGACAGCAGGCTGCTGCAGCTGCCAGCTGCTCCAACAGGCAGCTTCCACCCAACGCCCTGCAGATTTCTCTTGGCTCTAGACTTGCTTCCACAACCTCTCATGCTTTAATACATAACTGCATTGGATGTGAACTTCTAGTAACTGTGTGGTCACTGTGTTCTATATAACATTTGACACTGCTGTGGTTGCTGACCTTTGTTTTCTTTTTTTTTTCTTTTTTTTTTTTTTTGTTATGGCTTGACAGCGAAAAATAAAAAAGAAAAAAAGGCATGATTCTTAGAGAGTATTAAACCTTCCTTTCTTTGAAAAACAAGCTCCTTATTACAGAATATAATAAACGGTAGTGCCTGTGGTGTGGCCCACCAGCCCTGATCCAGTAGCTGATGCATTGTGCAAATGAGGCTTCGAGATGGTTTTTGCATAAACAAAAACTGCTAGGAGATAATCTCAGTAGTTAAACGTGTTATTTAAACCTTTGAAATAAATGGATGTAACTGTACCCGAGTACAGCTTTTCACTTGTTTAGTTCTTAAACGTTAGCATCATCGGTAAAATTTAATATAAAATGTTGCCAAATTCAATGTAGAAAGAACGTGACAAAACACTTTGGATAGTTCTATTGTTTGTGTTTTTGCATATTGTAAAAGCAGTGTCACAGCTGAAAAATAAAATGTTTCTAATGGTAAATTATTGTGGTTTAGTTGCTAGTTTGTACTGAGAGTTGACCTCTCCCTGTGCAGTTTTTTTGTTCTAAACTGGTATAAATAATTGCTGTAAGTGTGCCTCCCTTCTACATTGTAATGATTGCTTAAGCCTATGTTATAAATAAAGAACTGCTGGAAAACTTCTGTATTTCACTTCTTAAAGTCTTCTGCTTGTAGGGTGCTGCTGTCACCTCCGTGCACTTCCAGTGCCTCCCCAGCACCTCTGGGCAATGGAGGACTTGGATTTGTTCAGCCTTTAAATCATAGAACGGTTCATTAAAGTTGGAAGAGACCACTGAGATAATCCAGTCCAACCATCAGTGCTGCCTTATGGAACAGCCATTGGGGCAAGGGGGGCAGCCACACCATCTGAGGGGACTGCAGAAGTCAGGAGGGACTCCTGCTCTGTCCTACAGCAACAACAAAGCGGTCGGTTGATTGTGATGGAGGGGTAGAATCACACATGAACTATTTGCTGTTTGCATTCCTTCTTATGTAGTTAGTAGATGAGCAAGCAAAATACAGGATGTGGGGGGATAGCAAGGCAAAGGGAGAGGGAACAGGGTGTTTGTGAGCTGACATTTGCTCAAACAGAAGTGAGGGGGGGAGAGGGAGATGTCTGCTGACTGCTCAGGTCAGACACTGAGCAGGGTTACATCTCATGAGTTTGTATTCCTCATGACTTCTGCCTGCATCTGTTTGTGGCCTTTATACTCAGGTGAGTACAAGCGGCCTCTGAAGCAAACTGGCACTTGTAATGCAGCCAAGTGACACTGTGCTATTGGAGAGCCTGTATTAAAACCCCCTAACCCTGGAATGCTCACTGTACAAACACCTGCACAGCACCAAAGGTTGGAACAAAGCAGCTCTGTGCCCAGTAGGTGAACCGGTGAGAGATGAGTGATGTGCTGAACTGCAAAGCTAAAGACGTTTAGTCCATAATAACAGCTGGAAGCTTGTATAAGCACTGAGTTAGGGAGGGCAGGCAGTAAGTCCTTATTCTCCAGCAAGGTTTGAAAAACACTCACTCCAAAAGCAGCCAAAGGCCACGTGAGTTGCTAGCATTACGTCAGAGCTCCAGCTATAGCACAAATGCCTGTATTTAACAGCACAGTCCAAGGTATCAGTCTGGTACAGGTTGCTCATTAATTTTACATCCAGGCCCACTTCCCTCCCACCTTCTCCACAGTGGGAAATGGGCTCCAGCCTCAGTCGCTGTGTGTTCAGTCACTTATGGCTGGATCCCATTCCCTACTAAGTCTGCTTCTCCTGCCCCATTAGGCTTACATTCTTTCACTGGGAACACAAATTTACACGGCCACTTTTTCAGTCTCAGGAGTTTTTCCAGCTTTCCATGAAAGCTGCAAAATAAGTTCCAATAACCATTCAGTGTTCTAAAAATCACTGGTGTCAGCATCCCATGAAGACTCCTTTGCTGGCAGTCAGTGCTGACTCTAAGTCATCTATTCTACACTGCACAGACTGGAAGCGCATCCATGCTGCAACAGAACAGCGTATCAAAAATGCCTTGTTTCACTTCAGTTGGCTTTATTATGCATTACAGTAATATGTTCACTGGCACACCTTCTGCCTACTGGAGATCTATCACTTCAATGGCTGCATGCAGTAATGCTTTCACATGGGAATTTCACGGGGTCTTGTCACATAATGCCACCACAGTGGTGGCAGATGCCCGTCCTTGCGAGCAGGAGGCAAAGCTTCAGTTTTCGGGCCATCAGCTGGAGTTTCTTCTTCTAATTGCTTCACCTAGAAGACAAAAAAAAAAACCCAAACCACTTCAGTACAGAATCTCATTTCAATACTGCAGTTTTCAGCACTCCAGCAGCAGGTGGAACTGATCCCTGTTTTGGGAGGAAAGGACACCAGCAAGGCCTTTGGCCGACTGACAGGTTTAATGCTTCTCACTATTCACTGACAAACTCAGTAAGCATTGCAGGCTCCTATTACCTAACTAAGAAAGAATTTTCAAGAGTGAAGAGTGGTTCACAGGCGGGTTTTCATTTAAAAGGTCATTATTTTCTTATAATTTATGTCTAGCATTAATAAATTAAATAGACTGCGTTCTCTTGCTGCTTTGAAAGCTACCATTAATTTCAAGTCCTAAAAACCTTCTATACAAGTCAGAAGGAAACCCATTTCTGCATGCCCCCAGCAGCCCCACAGGTGCTATTCATGTAGGTTTCTATAAGCAGTGTTAAGTGCTGGCTGCCACTGTGTTAATTCTCATAAAAGCACCACAATACATACAATTCAATTATTTCTCTACATTTTAATTATTCCATTAACTTTGCCCAACAGAAGTTCCATTTAAGTTGCCTAGATTCCAACACGATGCAAATTGGTGCAAGTCATCTACAAAGCTGCAATCAGAAAGCATCCAGAGCTTTACAACAGGTGATGAGAAATTCTTTGGCCAGGGCTGCAGGTTCAGCTCTAACGTGCAGTTCTGTCCTCAGCCTTGAAGAAGCCATAATGCTGAGATTTGCATACGCATTTTAAGCCACGCCAGCATTTCACACTGACAAATGTTCTAACAAAGCACAGCTTAAGGCAGACCACAGCAGGTGCTCAGCATTCTCACTTTAAATATTTTCCAAGAACAGAGCTACATGTCACTCAAATGCTTACTAAAGCAGCTTTACTTGGCACCAAGCAAACACTGACCTCTTTCTCCCAGCTTTCCCGCTGCAGCTTCTTCCACTGCTCTCTCTTGGCAAAGTAATCAGGATACATCGCTTTCTCAGAAGGATGCCAGTAATCCAAGCACCACTCAGGAAGCTGTTAGAAAAAAACACGACCAAAACACAACAGTCTTATTATATACACACACACACACACACAAACATACATGAAATCTACAAATACTGTGTACTATATGAAGCTGATCCTGACCAATTACTGATCACCTGACTTATTTACTTATTTTTCCTGTCTGGATTCTTTCTCACCATTACCCCTGCCAATGCTAATGCCCATAAAGCTTAAGTTCTCTTCTTCTATTTCCACTTATTCCTTTTTCTGCCTCTTAATCCATGTCAGGTTCTTTTCTCTCATGGAGCTTCTTGTCTGTAAGGAGCTGATCAGATATCGCCTTGTGTGTCAGCACTTTCTTCCAAATTTGAGAGAAAAAGTGTGCACACACACTCTAGATGAGTACTGACTTCTTGTAATGCATTAAAAGAGCCAATGGCAAGAAAGCAAAAATGTCGTGTTTTTCTGTGAGCCCTGTTTATCCACTCCTAAACAGAACAGTCTCAGCAATGGAGCTAGAAGCCAAACTCCACAAGTTCTAAGAACACTTCTGCTGTTTTCCAGCATACCACTCAACATATGATGGACCTCAAATACTTATGTGGCACTACAATGGATTGAGAGAAATGGTCATTTTTACTATTACTAAAAAATGCTGGAAGAACGATGGACTAAGGGAAGAGAAGCTCTCCAAAGCCAGGCTGACTGATACCAAAGTTCTGGCAAGACCAGAGCAAGGTCAGGGTCACGTGGCCCAAGTGCCACAAGGGCAGCATCACTACCACCACAGGGCAGCTGCCACTTCCCAAAAGATCACGTGCTGTCCAGCAAAGCCAAACCAGCTGACAGAGAAGCAAATTCCATGTGAAAGGATCACCCAAGCACAGCAAGATCCTCCCACACGAGCTGTAAGACTTACAGCACTACAGTATTAGAGAAATATTGGTGAATCAAACTGCAGCCCCACTGAAGCCTTATTATAGCACTGCTGAGGACTCAGGGGTCCTGGTAGATGAAAAACCACAGAACGAGCAGTGTGTGCTTGCAGCCCCGAAGGCCAAAAGCATCCTGGGCTGCACCAACAGAGGGATGGCAGGAGGGAGAGGGTTAGGGGAGAGGGTGATTCTTCCCCCCTTCTCTGCCCTTGTGAGGCCCACCTGCAGCACTACTCCAGGTCTGGGGGCCCCAGAAAAGTATGACGTGGACCTGTTAGAGGGTCCAGAGCAAGGCTATGAAGATGATCAGGGGGCTGGAGCACCTCTCCTATGAAGACAGGTGGAGAGTACTGCACTTGTTCCATCTGGAGAAGAAAAGGATCTGGGGAGACCTCACTGGGGCACTGCAGTACTTGAAGGGAGTTTATAAACAGAAGGGAAGTTTCAGGTTAGATGTGAGGCACAGATTCTTTATTCAGAGGGTGGTGAGGTGCTGGCACAGCTGCCCAGAAAACTGTGTGTGCCCCATCCCTGGAGGCACTCCGGACCAGGTCGGATGGGCAGACCAAGCTGGTAGGATGCAGCCAGGGGTTGGGGGGCTTTGAAGCCCCTTCCAGCCCAAAGCCATTCTGAGATCCTGCGATTAACCCCCCTTTCCTCTCCCTAAAGGAGCACGGCTATCATACACAGCACCGCAGCAGCCCCTCACCTACCTTGTAGCACTCATATCTCTCATAGGACGTGCCGCCGGGCGAGTCGGGGAAGATGTAGGGCTGGGGGTGCTGGTTGGCCCAGAACTCCTCCTCTCCCGCCCTCAGCAGCTCGGTTGCCTTCACCATGTCCTTCACATCCTTGTTCTTATCGAAGCGGTCCCTCAGCAGGACGGCGAAGTAGCGGTACTTGTCCCTACAAGTTAAGCACGCGGGAGGCACAAACAAAACGTCACACACGCAGGCAGCGCCGGGCCGCAGACCCTGGGCCGAAGCGGCCGCTCCCCGCCCCGCGCTGAGGGCGAAGGACAAAACGCAGCGGGGCCGCCGAGAGCACAGGAACCGGGCCCGGCACCGCTCCCAGCGTCGCGCCAGCCCTCCCCTCCTCACCGATGGATGCACCAGGACTCCAAGTGCCGCAGGGACTTCTTGTACAGCCGCAGCACCTTCTGCTGGTGCGTCAGGTAGGCCGCCATGTCTCGCCGACCCGCGGGGCTGACGGGAAGGACGGTACGGCACTGCGCATGCGCCGCGCCGCCACCGCCGCCATGAGCCGCGCCAAGCTCGTGGGTGAGGGGGCGGCGGGACGGGGTGTGAGGAGGGGGAGTGTGGGCTTCGTGTGGGGGTGGCCGTGCTGGAGGGGCGGCTCGGGTGGCTTGGCGGGCGCTGTCAGTGCGATGTCCTCGGGTCGCCGAGGTGCGCTTTGAGTTGCTGCTCAGAATGAACCCACGTACATCTGCGGGGTTTTTGTTGGCAGATATCGGCGTTAACCTCACGGACCCCGCTTTCAGGGGGATCTACAGGGGAACGCGAAAACATCAAGGTACGTATTGCTTCATGTTCGAACTTCCTATTTATTCATTTTTCCTCCCAGTCTGGCCGTCCGTTCCGTGTTAAGGCGTGAAGCAGGAAGCTGTGTGGGCTGGCACGGCCGCCCCCATCCCTGCGCTGCTGCGGGGCAGCTGAGCTGGGCGGGAATCTTCCCGCAGCGGGGCGGGGCTGGGCGGCTCTGAGGGCTCCTCCAAGCCCTGCCCTTCTGTGATTCTCGCTATTGGTTCCAAGTCCTTTTTTTTGTGTGTGTGTGTGTGTGTGTGTGTGTATGGTGGCACCGCGTGAATGTAATTTTACGTTCAAAAGGAGTTTACTTGGCTCCTGAAACTTACGATGTTCAGTACGTGATGTTTCTGTGTGCTTTTGCAGATGACCTTTTGGATGTGGTAGAGAGAGCTGTCAAAGTTGGTGTTAAAAAGGTAATTCCTCGCAGTTGGAATTTTCTACACATTTTATCCTGCTTTTGATATTTTTGGAGTGCTCCATTATTGAAACAATTCTGCAAGTTGCAAAGGAAAACATGGCAACTTTCTTCACTACCGTAATGTGGAAGTCTTCCATGCCGAGAGCCTTGTCTTTAATTTGCACTGATCATTAGGCAGTAATGATTTTAATTCAGTGCTGTTGTGTATGATCTGTGATTAATTGTACATTTTCAGTGGAAAGATGTTCTCCTCCTACATACTGTAGCAAATCATTACAGAAGTTTCCATGTTAGATACATTGTCCTGTTTTAGGTGACTCACTTTGCAGTTACCTGTGCATGGGCAAATATTCAAAAAGGGTCTGATGGCTGTGAATATGCAGATATTTTGATACATAAAGGTAATTGGCGACTGCAGAAAAGGTAGAAGTACCAATAAGCTTGTGTGGTTGTGATATCTGAATGACTGCTAGTAAATGGTAGCTTTCACATATTGAAACTTCATAACAGTGACCAGGTTTGTAACTCTTTTAACTTGTCTGCCTTGGACCACGTTATTTAGTTGTAGTCTGCCTATTGTATGCCTCTGTATGCATCTCTGAAATCAATGAAGTATCAAGGCAAAGATAAGAGTTAAAATACAACACATTGGACGCTGTTGTGAACTATTCTGCTGGTGTATTAGAAATATTAAATAAACCCTCCTTGGCAGGAGGAATGAGCACTTGGCAGTTTGCTGAAAGCCTCTTATCTAAAGGATGGAGCCATGCAGTGCCAGAAGTCTGCCCCATCCCAAACTGTGTTTGCTTGCCTGAAAACTTAATCTCTTAATCTGAAAATATTTATATTTGTCTATATCTGCAGATTTATGGTGATATAAGGTGATTTGATTAAAAAAAAAAATCTATCTTTGTTACCTACTGTATTTCCTGGGTCCTGGGGATTTAGGAAATCTCTTTGTTACTGATGTATGAAGCTTTGTTATATATGCACATTAATAATTGTCTTGTTTTGTTCTCTGCCTAGACTCTTAGTTCTCTCTGAATGTTTTCGTAAACATACTGCTTGATATTCAAAGCAGAACATCCTGACAGTACTTCTTCTTTCCAGTTTTTGATTACAGGTGGGAGTCTCCAGGACAGTAAAGATGCATTGCAGCTGGCACAGACCAATGGTATTTTTGCTTCAGACTTCTATTGTTGGTCAATAATTGAATCTGCCCACAGTCTCTCAGAATTAATCACAGAATCACAAGGTTGAAAAGGACCCACAAGATCATCTAGTCCAACCATCCTCCCATTACCATTGCTACCACAAGCACTAAACCATATCTCGTAGCTCCTCATCCTCTGTTCAAGACGCCTCTTGAACACTGCCAGGGACGGTGACTCCACCACCTCCCTGGGCAGCCATTCCAGTGCCTGACCACTCTCTGAGAGAAAAAGTTCTTCCTTATGTTTAACCTAAACCTCCTCTGGTACAACTTGCGGCCATTTCCTCGGGTTCTGCTTGTTGCTTGGGAGAAGAGGCCAAACCCCTCCTCATCACAGCCTCCCTTCAGGAAGTTGTAGAGTGCAGTGAGGTCTCCCTGAGCCTCCTACATTAAGAGTGTATAAAGACATGCCCCTGGACTTGCTTACAGAATCTCAGATTAAAATTGAAAATGAGGATGCAGAGTGAGATCACTGCATTGCGTATGGCTTTATATAGCTATTTAGATTTCTGGGTGTTGGAAGGGATTAATCATTGCTCTGATTTCTGTTTCTAGGCAGTTCAGATGTTTAGAAAAACGAAGCCATGTGTGCTGCTGGAAGCACAATTTATCACAAGGCCCTCTTCCAGAAGTAGGCTGAAATAGATATATGATGTAAAATGTATCTCCCTCCCAGTTTTCCCTCCCATTAAAAGGAATGTATCCCTCCTTTTTTTCTTCAGGTAGTTATCACTGTACTAATTACTTAAATACTTATTCTATTTAAGAAAGTGGTGTATTTATATACATTAAAGTACTGTTTACAGAAGAGAATCATAAAAGAACTCAGGTTGGAATGAAGCAGAGGAGGTAACCTGGTCCAACCCGTTGCTTAAGGCCTTTCTGTGTGTGTGTACATACGTATTTATATGAATATTTTTATATGCATAAAGGCATATTTTATACGTATGTATTTCTCTCCCATATTTCTACATTCTTCGTAAAGGCACTGCATGTGTCTTTTTGTTTTGGTACTGAGGTCATCTAGAAGGAATTTCTAGGTAAGTCAGACATTGCTTGCAAAATCCTGTCCCAGCTAATGAATGTAAAAATCCTGTCCCAACTAATGAATGTAGAGGCACACGAGGTAAAGAGGGAGTTTTCTTTTAAAATTACAAGTAATGAAAAATGTCCAGGCACAGATAATGGCTATAGCTTATATGAACTCATATTTTTTTCTTAAAACCATCTAATAATGTGTTGCTTTAGATATGTTTTACAGCACAGCTGGCTGCCACCCTACACGCTGCGGGGAATTTGAGCAGAGTAACCCTGACCAGTATTTATCAGAATTAAAAAATCTAATTGAAAAGAATAAGATAAAGATAATAGCAGTTGGAGAATGTGGCCTAGGTAAGTGTTATCTTAGTACTTCAGTACTGATATGTATAAACGTGTAGACATCCTCGAACCCTAACTAACTGGGGTTTTGTTCTTTCTAATTGTAGATTTTGACAGATTGGAGTTTTGCCCAAAGGATATCCAACTCAAGTAAGAAACTTGCTGTCTATAAGTTGATTTGTATCGCTCCACATCAGTGTTTTCCTTCCTGTGCTCTACCAGGTAGCATTTAGTCAGGTAGACATTTGCAACGTGCAGATTTTTTTGTGTCAGAAAACGTGACTTTAAAGGAAGCAGTGAATTTTGCTTCCTGCACGGTGTGGGTCCAACGTGTCCTTTCCTGTAAAATCCATCAGAATTGCTGGGTTTCCAGGTGTGGCAGCTATTCATTCTTGCTCAAGCTCAATCTAGCAGACTCTTGGTGAGAATTAATGTAACTGTAGTACGTGAAGGAAGAATTAGTTTGTTGGAGTGGAAGGTGTAGAGGAGGGAACAGAACTATCAAAAAGACTAAGACAGCAGTGGAGAGAAGGAAGCTTTTACTATGGGCAGTGTTAGCTGAGATAATTGAGGGCTGATATGTTCATCTGAGGACCCGGAGAGATTGGTAGTTTGAAGTAATATACACAGCAGTCATACTGAGTGACAGGAGCAACCACAGCCCCTAACATCAGCCTGCATTCCTGTATTGACAGTCTTTGTCTGCAGTTCTTTGTGAGAAAAGGTGGGTGGTGGAAGGGGCATTCCAGTGAAAGGAGACTGAATTGTAGCAGGTTGCTGCTATGGGTAGAATTAGTCACTGGGGGGCAGTGGTTAGTTGTATATTTTCCTAATTGCCACAAGTAATCAGTAGGGAGAGTTGATCATGTCTTTTACTGTATGAATGTAGTACTGCAAATATTCCCCAAATTAGACAGAACAAAATACATAAATCTAGTTTCTCAGAGCTCTTTGAAACAGACAGAAGAAATATACTATCACTAATACATGAATCCCAAGTTGTTTTTCTGGAGATCTACTTCTGCATGGCCAAATCTGCTTCATCTGTGTTAGTGCTGTGATCCCCAAACTGAAAATGCCAGAGCATTTGAAGTCTGTGCTCAATACTAAATCTGCAAACAAACAAGCAAGGATGTTTTCAAACATTATTGAGGAGAAACAGACGTAGCCAGTGGCTTGGCTCTCACCAGTCGGAAGAAGGCCATACCTTCAGTGCTGTAACTAGTAAGGCTTGGCATCCTGATGGTTTACACTGTTATGTTCTGATCACCATGTCAGGTTTCTGTCGGCTTTTCCAGAGTTTCTCTTTCCTGGTTTTTGTGTTTTGTTCTTTTTTATCTAGGAACTTCCTTGTCGACTTCCTCATTCTCTTTCACAGGGCACATAGCAGCATGTGATGTGATGGGCTTCACCGTAGCTAGATAAGGAAGAAGCTTGCATTGCCTCCCTCTCAGCTTTGAAGAACAGTAGTGGTTTTGTGGGTAAAAGGTTACATCAGCCAGTAGTTACTTATGGGGATTATTTGCAGCTCAGTCTCTAAAACCTCATTTTGGTATGAAGCAAGTCTGAAGAATGAAAACAGCTGTTTAAAAAAAAACAAAACAACAAAACATCAATCAAGCAACTGTAGCTATTTAAACAGCAAGAGCAATTGTGCATTGCAATTAAATTTGGATT